TTTTTTCGTAATTAGCCAAAAAGTCATCCCAAACATATAAGTTTTTTTTACTTACTTTTTTAGCCAAATAATCAAAAAATTACTAAATTAACCTGTTCCCAAACCAAGCCTAACTAGAGACCTTTCTCCCTCCACCATTTGGTTGCTTTCATTTCAGTTCTTCTCAAATCTATTAAATATTATATTTTACAAGATGTGTTTCCACAAATTTGCCATTCTTTGGCTCCATCTGTGTGGCATGTTATGATCCTATTCACCCAAATGACTTCATTTGCACCTGCAAAAATTTTGTCAAGACATCAAGTAAAATTTTCTTGAGACTAATATGGCTTCACTAATATCTCTCACTACTAGAAATATGACTTTTTAAGTTTATTTTTTTTGCGACTGATTATTTAGCGGTTGCAAAAAATCACTTTTTACATAAAAAAATAAAATAAAAAAATCACCCAATCGTGTTGTTAACTAAAACTTGACCTATCTCCCCTTTCACTCTTATTTCCCAAATCTGTCTCCAACGGTGGTGTATGAACTCTCTCTCAAAATCTCTCTCGCTCAACTCTCTTTTTTGACTCTCCACTCTCTCTCGCTTGAATCTCACTGTCCACAGTCAAAGCTTTTCGTATGTATTGCCATTCTCACACTCTTCGGAGCTTCCAACGCAAATTAATCAACCACAACACATTGCTCTGTATCTCTTCTTCATAAATATCGTTTCTTTATCTTTGTAGCGATCTTCTTCTTCTTCATCTCTCTCTCTCTCTCTCTCTCTCTCTCTCTCTCTTCAATCGCCAGAGTTTCCATGGCTGCTTATTCCGCTGCCGGATCGGCCTTCGTCACCTTCAAATTCGCCGAAATTTCTGCTCATTCTGGCAATTTGAAACTCTCTAATTTCCGACATTGCTCTCCGATTTCAAGCTGAGTTGGATCTAATTTCCGACATTGCTCTCCCATGGGAAATTTCTCATCTGTCAACAACTCTTCTGATCCCATGGCTTCCAGAAGGACTCCAAGCCGGAATCCGATAAAGTTGGCAACAATGTCTACAATTCCAATGTTTGTCTCCTCCGAAGAATTTGTTACCCTTGAGTTGGGCTTCTAGTGTTTTCAGGAGCTCACATGCTTCTTCCGTGGTCTTCGCTTGTTCATTGTCTTTGCTCCACCAAGCCTTCCATACTGCAGGCAAGTACTCATAGTGTAGAAGTCAGTATCTTTGAAGAGCAAATGCATGAACAACTGTGTGTGGTATATATTCAAATGCATGAAAAAAGAAAAGAGAAAGTAGAGTGTGTTATATATTCGAACTTTATATTCCACATCTAGAATAACTCTGATCCATAAATTTCAAATTTTGAGTATTTTTTTTTTTGAGTACCCGTATAGTACCGACATTGATTTGTCTGTCTTCTAAATTTAGTTTGTGCACGTAACATTATCATAATCCTAGTAAAGCAGCCCTCAAATTGTTTGAGATCACACCAGAGTGAACATACCTTCTCATCAATGTACTCCAGAATCACAACCAACTGGCAAATAGGCTTCCCATTGTGCAACAACACTGGAATCTTTTTGTGAACAAGGATAGTACTTAAGAAGAAGAGGACTCTTGTTAGTTATATCTTCTTCAATGACTTCATATTCGACACCTTTCATTTTCAGAGCAATCTCAACTCTGCAAACAAAGGGCTTCCCCAAACACCAAACAACTTGACTTGTTCTGCCATTTCAACACTTGTTATTTAGAGCTATTACTCTCAAGAGTGTGTTTGTATGTGTTTGAAACTTTGAAGTTGATTATGCGTCTGGATTTGATGAGTTCTTATAAAGGAACTTTGCTATTAGTTACTTAGCCAGCAAGATTATATGTCTATTTTGATGACTCCATTTACTATTTTAATCAAATACGTAGTTGGTAATTCGAAACCTCTGGTAGCCTTGGCAGAGGATATAAAATGATGGAAAAATGGGATAGTTAAAGACTCATTTCTGGTTTTTCATGTCCATTTACTATATTGATCAAATATGTTGTTGGTGATTGGAAACCTCCAGTAGTCTCAGCAGAGGATATAAAAATATGAAAAAATGGGAAAGAGTCAATGAATAGGAATTTCTTTATCAATTTCTTTATGATTTCTAGATCGAAATGGTGGCTCATCGGTGGTGGTGAGATCGAGATCAAGATCGCGAGAGAGAGAGAGAGAGAGGGGGGGGGGTTGATTTTAAAGACACAATGATCTAAACCAAACTGGTGTTACTAGATTAGAGTTAGAGTAATAGGTAATTGCCAAATACTCCATGAAGGTGACATAACATTGGCCACAAATAAATGAATATATGATTTTCAAAACTCACCTATATTGGATTAGAATCTGAATTCTCTTTCTTAATTTCTCTTAATGGGAGGCAGACATTCTTTGATGACATTGCAATTGTCATACTCATCGATGCATTTGCGGAGTCTGGGAAATTTCTCTTCTGTCAACAACTCAACACCCATTGCTTCCTGAATCACTCCTACCCAATATCCAAACAAGTTTGCGACAATGTCTACCAGACCGACGTTGTCTCCTCGAAAAAACTTGTTATCATTCAGTTGGGCTTCCAATGTTTGCAGGAGCTCACTTGCTTCTTCAATGGCCTTATCGTCTTTGGTAAAAAAAGCCTTCTTTATTGCAGGCAAGCACTATAATACACAGACCAAAGTATAAAATTAGAAAAATCCAATGCACCATATGAATTCAATCTAATGAAAGTATTAAAGTGTGATACAACTTCATCAAATCACATCCTCATGTAACATTTTGGGATTATTATAAGAGGCCAAAATATGACCACATAGACAGGACAAGGCAAAATTTGAAAAATAGCTGGTGCGTTGTGTCAATTAAGTCCAATTAATAATATTCATTAAGAAATTAGATAGAAATCAATGGCCAACTCACCATTCATTTTGAAGAGATGAATGGACCACTGTGCCTTCGATTTTTATCTAATTTGTAAAGGTGCATTATAAGGTAAAATTGATGCAGTTAGAACTTAGCATTATAACGACTAAAGACATACTACAGAGACTATGAGGTTAATTTGACCTTGGTTTTCTAGACACTTTTTCGCATGTAACATTTTTGTTTTTCAGAAAAAAGATATAATAACATACCTTCTCATCTATGAAGTTGGCCCAGAAACGCCCTATGGCTCTCTCATGAGGATCTTCAGGGAAGATCGGAGTGCCTTTCCAGGTCTCATCAATGTACTCAAGAATGACAAGTGACTCACAAATGGGCTTTCCATTGTGTAAGAGCACTGGAATCTTCTTGTGAATGGGGTTGCACTTGAGAAGAAGAGGACTCTTGTTTTGGAGATCTTCTTGGATGAATTCGTATTGGACGCCCTTCAATTTCAGGGCTGTCTCAATTCTGCAATTAAAAGGACTTGCCCAATGTCCCAACAACTTCACTTGTTCAGCCATTTTAGAAATTCTTAGCTCTTTTAAGTTTGAGGTTGGTTTTTTATTCATGGACTTGGTGGCTTCTTATAGAGGAGCCATACTAGGAGTTTCTTGGCCACCAAGATTATATGTATTTACTTGACAAGTATTCAATTGGTGGGTGCAACTTTGGTCAAATGATGTTTATGTGAATTCCAATGTGGTTTTCGCAGCAAGCAACTGGAAGGAGATTCAATGACGTTATCCAACACCTCATGAATTCTTGATGGTCAAGAATACAAGAGGCTATGCCTATGATTACTTTCTCAAAACAACTGATTTATTCAGTGAACAATAAAATTCAAGAACAGTTAACTTATATTCCTGCTCAATATTAATTGATTAATAAAATGCTATTTAATTGATTTGGGCTAAGTTTTTCAATGTAACATGAATATGTTCATAGTCTCGAGAAATTGTCGGGGCAGAGTTTCTGTAATAGAAGATGAAGAAAGACATATTGCTTGAAGTTGCATTACAATGTCTCTTTCCTTGAAACAATATCCATCCCCTCGAATTTTGTTATTCATATAACCGACTTCATTTGATAAGACTTAAGACTTAGTTTGGTTTGGTTTGGTTTGCAGTATTTAACAACTAACTTGTCTCCAGGATACAATGAAACTCAAGAGAGAACCCTTGTTTGTCTGATTCTGTGAATCTGGTGTGCACTCGGTAACAGGCCCAATTTTGGGAATATAGGACTTCAAGATCAAGACACAAGGATGACTGTAAGGTGGTTAGAACTAATAAACCTAGACAATGGCTTGGAAATGGGTTTATGGCTTTTTTTAGGCTAAAATCTACACACCAAAATAATAAAAAAAGAAAAAAAAAAAGAGAAACAAAAACAAAAAACAAAAAACAAAATAGGCTAAATCAGCCAATAAGACACAATGTCACATCAAACTCATAATCATTTAATTTTTTCTCTTAGAAATATTACATCTAACTATAAAAAAATCGAACTATCTTTTCAAACATAAAAATTTTAACTTACTAAAATAGTCAAAAATTAAAATAGTCTACTAAAACAATAAATTTTCCAAACGAGCCCAATTTAACCACACTTATGTGAGTTTTTGGCCTTTTTCTATTTTTTTTTTTTGTTTTTTTTTTTTTTTGGTATTTTTAGTTGCATGGATTTATACGCGAATTTGTCATGCTTTGTTAATGATGGTGCAGATGGGAAATCTTGTTGACTATAATTGCAGAATGAAATAAGGCAAACCTTTTAGGACTGCCCTGTCATTGTTTAGTACTCTCTGTTTTGAGTCCTATAAAATTTATGATTGAGAAAAGATAGAGATCATGAAAAGACTTTCATGAAATTGATCATGAAAAATTTATGATTCTTGGATTACCTTGACTAGTGTGTGGTGATTTTACTTGTTGATATATTTATGTTAAGTCAATTTTAAATTTAAATGTTTTTAGTGTCTAAATCCCCAACAGTCGCTGGGGATGTTGTAGATCAGCCTGTCCATAAAAACATATCACCTTTATTTGAAATGAAGCAAAAGTAACACAAGACTCCTAATACATAGTAACAACAGCTACCTTAATAACCTCAACTCAACAACATAGGACCCAACACAAAAAACAGAAAGACTAGTCTGCAGTTTGACAATGCAAAGATTTATTTTCAGATATGATCAACAAACTACTCATATTTAGGACCGCTAGTGGGTTGTTGGCGAGCTCTGAAGAAGGCCAAAAGTTTCTCTTTGGGAGGCAGATTTTCTTTGATAACTGGGCAGTTCACATAGGCATGCTTCCATTTGCATAACATGGGAAATTTCTCGTCTGTCAACAAATCTGTTGATCCCGTGGCTTCTAGAAGGACTTCAACCCAGAATCCGATGAAGTTAGCAACAATGTCTACAAGTCCAATGTTGTCTCCTCCAAAGAACTTGTTACCCTTGAGTTGGGCTTCTAGTGTTTTCAGGAGCTCACATGCTTCTTCCATGGCCTTCTCTTGTTCCTCATCTTTGCTCCAACAAGCCTTCCATAGTGCAGGCAAGCACTAAAAAACACTCACAAAGTGTAAAAGTAAGTATCTTTGGAGAGCAAATCCAAGAAACTGTGTTATACACAAAATTAATGCACAAAAAAGTGCACAGAATAGAGACACTTGAGGTCAATAAAATGAGAAATTTATTCTAAATGCACAAAATCGTACACAATTTCCTCACATAAGGTGAGACCTATTAATTGTGTAAGTCTCATTCTATGTAAGAGGGTTGTGTCGGATATTATCATTGGATTCGACGTATTCAGAAGAACCGATAAAATGTCTCAAATTGAAACTATTGAGCCATGGGCTTCACCTATGGTAGAGTATTATTCAAGTGCTAAGATTTGGGATATATCATTATTGCATATGTGAGAAGTCAACGAATCAAACTTAACTGGAACTATAGTTGATTTAAAGTACATCCCCAATCGGAGTTTTAATAGTTCATATAGTCAGAGCAATAATATTGCGCGCACAAAATAATTGTGTGATATTAATTTATTCTGAAAATTGTTTTGTACGATGAAAAAAGAAATGTCAAGATATACCAACACCAACATACCTTCTCATCGATAAACTTAGCCCAAAAACGTGCCATGGCTCTGTCATAAGGATCTGCAGGCAAGATGGGAGTGCCTTTCCAGGTCTCATCAATGTACTCAATAATCACAACCGACTCACAAATCGGCTTTCCATTGTGCAACAGCACTGGAATCTTCTTGTGAACAGGGTTGTATTTAAGAAGAAGAGGACTCTTGTTAGTTAGATCTTCTTCAATGAATTCGTATTCGACGCCTTTCATTTTCAGGGCAATCTCAACTCTGCGAACAAAAGGGCTTCCCCAAACACCAAACAACTTCACTTGTTCTGCCATTTCAAGACTTGTTACTTAGACCTCTTACTCTCAACAATGTGTATGGTGTTTGAAACTTTGAAGTTGATTTTGTGTATGGACTCCATGAGTTCTTATATACTAGGAGTTACTTAGCCACCAAGATTATATATTTCGATTTTTTATTATAAATGTCAATGTTTGATTATTTCATTTACTACTAGTCAAATATGCAGTTGGTGGTTGGTTGGCAACTTCTAGGCTGGGCATGATGTAAAATATGGAAAAATGGGAAAGATTCAAAGGATCTCTCATTTCTGATTTTTGAATCCATCTCAATGCATTTCTATCATATTATTGATATGGTTGGAAATTGGTCATCTCGATGCATTTCTATCATATTATTGATATGGTTGGAAATTGGTCGGGTTTACAATCCATATTCGATTGGGTCGTTAATGGTGGCATAATCCAAGACTATAAGGAAAGATTCAGTCAAAATGAACTTAGATTAACTTATCCTGGGGATAAGGTCTCGTTTGAAAACATATTATTTTAGTAACTTTTTAGCTAAAATATGAGGTAAAAAACTCTAGTTTGTTTGAAATGATTTTTTAATTTTTTCCGAAAATATGTGCAAAAAAGTAAAGACAAAAGGGAATCTTTAACTTTTTTGTATAAGTTATAAACTTTTTGATTTTTTTTAGTAACTTTTTAACTTTTAGGCTAAAATTGTTGCATGCCAAACAAGGCCTAAGTGTGATTAACTCACTACTCAATCAAAGTGAACTTGGATTAATTTATCCTGGGAAAAAGTGTGATTAACCCACTGTCTCATCTCTTAAAGAGATTGTGGGTGGTTATAACTCTCCCACATAATATATCTAATATTTTTGAGAGAGTAAGATTTTAGCTGTATAGATAATCAGTCTCTCTCTCTCTCTCTCTCTCTCTCTCTCTCTCTCTCTTTTCTATACTCTCTATTCTTTCTCTCTCAATAAATACACAGAATAACCTTTGTACTGTGAATAGTATGGGTAGTTCTCTAATAGTTCTATTCCATTGTTGGGAATTGTTCGAAGACATTAATGGAGACACGTGATTCACCACATGATCTATGAATTCAGTTTGAGCGTAAAATGTATGGATTGAATCCGCTAATCCGTTGTGTATAACTATTCCTACATTGGTATCAGAGCCAATGTTAGATGTTTTCATGTTATTTGTACATGAATATAGGTATAGATATAATTTGTACATAAAATTGATGCTTTTCGAACCATCTCTGATCATCCTAAATTTCATATATTATTTAAATCATATCTGCAAAGTTTTGCAAAAATCAGAAAGTCGAATTTTGAAAAAACTGGAGATTTATATATGATTTTAGTAACTTGATTGCATGATGGATTTACATGCTTTGTTTTCATGTTGTAAAAATATATATTTGAAATTCTTGTTTCGAGACCTTCAAAATGGTAAATTATGAGATTGATTCCGACTTACAATTGAGGAGAAAACTCAAATCTTAATTTTGAATAAGAGTTAGAGCCATTGAAAAAGAAGACGAATTTGCTGACATCATCGGCACTGTTGATTTGACGTTGATTGACACACTGACGTTAGGTAAGTGCTGATGCGCTATTAAGGCTCTGTTTGTTTGGTTTTAATTTAAAAATTACGTTAATTGCTTCTAGATTATTCATTATAATTCTGATTGAAGTATGACTTATACCATTGGACCTGTAATTCAGTTTTCTACAACATGTTAAAGTTTCATAATTTTTTGAAAAATAAAATATTTTTCATCAATAAATAGTTCAATATTTTTATGTTAAATTGCTCTTGGGGGAGCATGACTTGGATTCTAGACTTGAAATTTTTTCCAGTAGACTACTGCTATGTAATCTTATTTACTAATATGAGTTTTGTATTTTTTCAGATTCTATAATATTTAATTATGATTTTCTGTGTAATTATTAATTACTTGTAATTCTAAAAAATTTCAAAAATTATAAAAATATGTTATGACATTATTTAAATACTCTATACAACATGTTATTAGAACTTGTAGTATGTTGTTATTTTAAATAACATGATTTATTTATATTGTGAATTTTAATTCTATGATTAAATATTCTATTATGTTTTCTTTTATGAATTCACATTGAGATGCTATTGTATGAAATTAATATTTTATCATACTTTAGACATGCCATAGTTAGTGGGAGGTTGTTCGGTTGAGAAATTTTTTTGTAAATTTACTTCCGAAAACCAATATTTTTGTGTATGAAATAAATTAAATTTTGGATAATTGTCACTTGTGGCGTAAGAGATGGTTACGAGTATAACGGATTTTCGATCTTACGACTTGTATAATATTGTCACTATTTAATTTATATTTTTGTGACAAAACTATATTATGATATGCTAATTAAATTAAGTGGGTGTTTGGGAAATGAGTTTTTTTGAGATTTTTCTGTGGTTTGAGTATTTTAGTATGATATTTTAGTTTGTGTATTTGGGAAGAGGGGATGGATTTTTTTAAAATTATTATATTGAAAAATATATTTGAAATGATAGTGGAATGTAAATTGACCAAATTGCCTCTATTGCTATTTAATTGCAAATATTTGTTAATGTCCACGTGGCCGCCATTTATACCAAATTACAAATTGAAAGCAGAATTGACACGTGGCCACCATTGTAATCTGTCAAAACACAGGGTGCAAACAATTGTTACCAAAATAAATTAAAATGAATTAATTAATGAAGTTGTTGTTAGATTGCCATATTAAAATTAATTAAAATTTTCATTTAATTGAAAATTGTATCTATTTCTTCAGAAAATAAAAACCATTTGTTTGCCAACATTTATTTTAATTTTCACATATAAAAATTAATTAAAATTTTGTTTGGGTTAGTGAATTTGTGCAAAAAAATAAAAATAAATCACTTTCTATCTCTGATACATCAATCAATCACTTTTTTCTCACTCCTCTCTCATTCACAATCACTTTTTCATACACACACATCTATTCAACTACAATAAAATTATTTTCACAACTCCTGTACTCCAAAATTAGTTCGAAAACATAAAAATATACAACCAAACAAACCAACTAAATTTCTAAACTCTTTCCCCATAATTAATTTTCAAAATTTATCTCTGAAAACAAAACCAAACAATTCCTAAGTATTTATTCGAATATTTTTTTGTTCAAAAATATTTGTATCTTCTTAAAAATTAATGAAAAAAATACTACGAATTTTCTATTTTGATTTATCTTTTTAATTCATTAATACTACGAAATATACAATGAGTTTAATTGATTTTTTTTTAAAAAAAAATACAATTTCAGAAAGGGGAAATGGTGATTTTAAGATAAATTAGTTAAGTAAGAAAAGAAAATTTTACAGAAATAGACAAATGTGGTTACCAAATTTCGCGTTTACTTATAGAAGCACTTAATAAAAATAAAACAACAAATTACACAAGCAATCTACATTTAAATAGTAAATGATAAGATGTAGTACTTCAAAAAAATTTAAATTTGCAACACACTTGCATTGTCCTTTCATGAATTACAAATTTAAATAATTTGTTACAGTCACATTGCAATGCGGAAATAGAAATTACAAATTAGACAAACACATAAATTAGATAACAAGCATTTCACAATAGTCCTTGATTCCGTATGTAAAACAAATGTTCACGGATGCGGACGCGAACTCTTGCCATATCTACATTCGTATCCCCAACCATGAGGCCATCATCCATATTTTGTTCTCCTTCTGCGGCGGGCATGTAATCTGGAACAGAGGAACAATTGACATGTTTGTTGTGTGCATTAGCAGCTATCTCGTGCCTACGGATGAAATTGTGTAAGGCCATTGATACCCCAACCAATGGCACCTGCACCGTCACAAAATCACAGTCGGGCATGTCCTTCAGGAACTTCCAGTGTGATTTTCACACTCCAAATGTTTTTTCCACCACGCTCCTCAATGATGCGTGCGTCTCATTAAACAATTCTCTTGGGTTATCGGGTCGTCCACGATCCCGGAACTGTACTTGGTGATACCGAGACCCTTTGTATGGTGCCAAATACCCCTTTTTGTTTGGATATCCCGCATCTACATGGTAATATTTACCTACATTTGGTATATCACTTTAAGATTTTGAACAAAATTAATAATGAGTACTTAATTTAAAATGTGTTGCCTTCTTGGGGGTGCGGGGACGGTGCATGTTTGTTCTCAATTATTTCGTTGAAGATGCGACTGTCATACATGCTTCTTTCCCAACCACAAGATATGAAAATGAAGCACATGTCGCAGTCGCATACTGCTAGTATGTTTTGGGTTGGATATCTTTTGTGACCGTAATATGTGCCGACATCACGGGCAGGCAACACGACTTCTACATGAGTACCGTCCAACGCTGCAATACAATGTTACACCAATAACGTACATCACATGAGGTTTACGTACATCACATAAAATGAAAAATAACCGATAACGACAACTAATATGCTAACCTTGAAGGCACGTATTTCCCTCTGGATCGCAAATATGGATGCCTATTATTTTGATCTTTGGTGGGCTTACAATGCACTTCTGTGAACAACTTCATTGCTTCCAACACTGCATGGAAATGTTGCGACACAATTTCTCCCGAGTGTTGGAATTGTTCCTGAAGTTTTCGGTTAGTGCAACCGTCCAACGTATGGATGAATATCGCAACACTTTTTTCAATGTGTAATCCATGGGGTCTTGTAGGTACCCGTAAACCGAAGTCGCTTCACAATGTGTCACACAACGCTTGAAACACATACAGCGACATATGCAAATTTTGTTCACCCCTGCCTATGTGCCCATCAAATAATTCTTGAATCCAGGCACGATCGGTTAGAATAGAAGTTTGGCATGGGATCTTCTCCATGTGCTTCAGGTAATATTCCATTGCATGTTGCGCAGCGTCCCCGATTACGCTGTTTTGTAGGTCTTCTTCTTCCTTAGCGAGTTCAATGATTACATCGTCGTAATTTCTATAGTTGCTACTTTGACCTTTTCACATTATTTGTTGATGACTCCTACAATGCACACAACACACAA